TTCATTTGGCAACCAATTGTATACCATCTTCAAGAATCACTAATCAAGAGGATTATTTTGAAATCCTTTGATTTATCAATAACTCAATCAATTCAGTTTTTTAAAAGTTGTAAACGCATTTTTTCACAATATCAAAGAAATTTGACCATTTATCTTTAATAACCAAACAATCTTTATCCTCAATAAAAAAATCATGAATTCTACTGCTTTTTGGGTATACAACCATATGCAGACCAAAATATGCGTGAGAACATTGCAAAATATAAGTACAAAATAAATTTAAATCAATTGTAAAAATCTTATTGATATAACTACCACAATACTATAATAGAATTGACATATCAACATCAATAACAAATCTTTTCGATCATTTGGTAACGAGCCATATATACCAAAAATTATATATTTAAAGAGTTCAGAAATATCATTTGATTATATCAATAACTGCACCAGCGGTCTTTCATTTACTTATTTTTTAATTCATATTGTGATTCACAATATCATTGAAAATTTCATATAAATTAATAAGTTAGAAAAAAAAATTTTAAATATACATTATTATAAGTAATAAGAAAAATAAAATAATATTGACGTAACTAAAAATTAATAGTTTTTTAACTTCAAAATAATATATATAACAATATTTTTCAATTAAGTGTTGGTTATATAATATTTGATACAATTCTCAACTTTAACATTACTTATTTAGAAATTGATATAAATCCTCACTATATATTAATTCAAAACATGCTGAGGCTAAGTGGCAGGCTCGCATGCTTCGGGATTCTATGTGGCAAAATTACATGCTTTTTTTTTCCGAAACGATAGGAATTCTATTAAGAAACTCAAGCGAACAATATTCGAATAGTACATACAGACCGAAAAACTGAAAAATGAGAGGACACGCTTAAAGCGGCCTAGAACCTCAACAACTAGCAACAAAGAAACTATACAACTCCAAGGAAAACAAACTAAACCTCCACTGCCAAAGCCTAGAGGAAGAACCAGCAAACCAACACAACAAGCTAAAGAAAACAAAGCAGCAAAACAAAGAGCAAAACAAGCCAAGAAAAAAAGACACACAACAGCTGCTGGAAGGATCAAAGAGCTGAGAATGTCATCCAACCACTATGAGCAGCCTTTACCACCAAATGAGGTGGCATATGAGTATCTTGAAATAGGCTAAGGTTTCGAGTTTTCCAGAGTCACCAGAGGATGTAGGTAGATAGTTGAATTCTATCCTCTGATGACCCTGCCCTGCCAACAGAACAGATGAACTTCCACCAGTAACTAAAGGAGCTATTCTGAAGGTGTTTTGAATCCCACTGTACAGAAGAGAGCTTCCACACAGTTTCAGCTTTTGGACAATAAAAAAAAATGTGATTTTCAGTCTCAGGAGCTTCCCCGCATGAGTGGCAGATGACATCAATATCCATACCTTTCTTTCTCAAATTTGTTTTCACAGGTAAAGCACCTGAAATGCATTTCCATATAAACAGCTTTATTTTGTTTTCCACCTTCAGCTTCCAAAGTCTTTGGGTTGCTTTAAGGAGTTCATGACCATGAAGGGAGCTGGAGCTTGGAATGTCAAGTTGCAGAAGCTTTTGTTGCCAGAGGAAAGAGTAGGTGCTAGAGACAGAGAAGGATCCTTTACTGTGGAATTTCCAGATAGCTTTATCAGCCAAACCAGGGTTAAGAGTTTCAATGTTGAGAATTGCCTTGCTGTCTTCTTCACTAAAGACCTGTTTGACAAGCCAGGAGTTCCATCCCCATCCTGTGTCATTAAGCAGCTCCTTAATCATGATAAGATGACCCCTTGCAATTTCAATGAGTGTAGATCTAGGTTGGTTGAGAGTGGGCACCCAATTGATGTCATCTAGTCTAGTGGTTACCCCATTTCTGATTACAGTGGCAAAACCTTTAGCAAAGGTAGGCAGAACAGACAACCAATTTGACCAAAGCCAGGAGCAATTCTGAGATTTGACTGCATCAAAGATAGAGCAGTTTGGAAAATATTTATCCTTCAGAATTCTACTCACCAGCAAGGTAGGTTGGGTAGTGATCCTCCAGAGCTGTTTGCAGATGAAAGAAGTGTTGAAATGCTGGAGGTCCAAAAACCCTAATCCTCCTTTATCTATAGGTAGAGTGAGTTTTTTCCAGGATGTCCAGTGAATCCCATTGGAGTGTTCATCTGAGTTGTTCCACCAGAAATTGGATCAGAGAGAGACAATAGCTGCACACAGGGTCTTAGGAATTTTGAAGCATGACATGGTAAAGACTGGAAGTGCTTGAAGAACTGCTTTGATGAGCACAGCCTTTCCAGCTTGAGTGAGGAGTTTAGATTTCCAGTTGAGGATTCTAGCTGAAACAGCTTCCAAAATGTATTTGTATGTGTCCACCTTAGATCTTCCAATACCTAAGGGCAGACCTGAGTACTTGGTTGACCTGTGGGGTGTGATTCCATGCAGAGTGGAGCAGATATTATTTATAATGTGCACAGGAGTATTCCTACTAAAGAAAATAGTAGATTTGCCCAAATTGACAGCTTGCCCTGTAAATAGCTTATATTTCTCCAAAATAATCAAGATGGTCTGAGTTTGATCATTGCTGGCTTTGCAGAAGAGAAGTGAGTCGTCTGCAAATAGTAAATGAGAGATTGCAGGTCCATTCTTGGAGATTTTTAAACCAGTGAGAGCACCTGAGGCAACTTCATGAGATATTAAGGCAGAAAGCATCTCTGTGACAATAAGAAAGAGATAGGGGGATAGGGGATCCCCCTGTCTTAAGCCTCTGGTTGGACGGACATATCCACTGACAGAGCCATTGATCTTGAAGGAGTAAGAGCAGGTTGAAATACAGACCATTACAAGATTAACAAAATTTTTATGGAAACCCATCTGCAACATTAATTGCTTGACACAAAGCCATTCAACCCTATCAAAGGCTTTAATTAAGTCAAGTTTAAGGGCCATGAAATGATTTTTACCAATGCTATGCCTGTTTAAGAAGTGAAAAGCTTCCTGACCAATTACAACGTTGTCTAGTAACTGTCTGCCCTTGATGAATGCAGACTGAGAAGGGCTGATGTAGTCTTCCAAGCATGATTGGAGTCTGAGGGCTAACATCTTTGAAAGATTTTTATACACCACTGAGCAAAGGCTGATAGGCCGGTATTGAGAAACATATTCTGGATTAAGAGCTTTAGGGATGAGGGTTATAATTGTGTGATTCCAGTATTTAAGCAGAGAGCCTTGATCAGTGAAAAACTAGAGATAGCTGAAGTCAGATCAGATTTAATGATGTCCCAGAAAGCTTGATAAAATTGGGCCGTCATACCGTCTTCCCCTGGAGATTTGTCTGAGGGAAGGCTGAAGAGAGCTGTTTTAATTTCATCTTCAGTAACAGGGTGGAGAAGTTGAGAGTTCATCTGATCAGTGACAGAGGATGGAATGAGGTGAAGAATTGATTCCCCTCCCCAAGAACCTTCCGAGGTAAACTGGTGAGAGTAAAATTCAGCTATGTGATCTTGAATGGCCTGTTGAGAGACACAGGGAGTGTTTTGAGAAGTGAGAAGCCGAGTGATTGCATTTTGTCTCATTCTTTGTTGAGTATAAGCATGGTAGAACTTGGTATTGCTGTCTCCCTCTTTGAGCCACTGGATTTTAGCTCTTTGTTGCCAGTAGAGTTCCTCATATTTATGAGCAGCCTCTAGCTCATACTTGGTAGATATCCATTCCTCCCAATTTGCCTCAGTTTTGTTTTGGTGGAGATGTTCCATCTTCTGAGCGAGAGAGGAGATCAGAGATTGGTTCTGAGATTTAAATGTGGCACTCCAAAGCAAGAGAGCTTTTCTTGTGGCTTTTACTTTTTCTTTCAGGATGAAGAAAGGGGTTCCTGTGAAGGTTGAGGCCCAAGCAGTTCTAATCACTTCATGCTTTGTTATTAAGTTTTGGTAGATTTTAATTTATTTCCAATCCAAAAATAATTAGCTCCGGATTATCCATAAATATGTTGATTATTTATGGTCATGTTACATGTATTAATTGTATTTTAACATCATATCTTATTATAACCATTGAAGTGTAAATGTTGTGTGTGTGTGTGTGTGAAAGAGAGAGAGAGAGAGAGAGAGAGAGAGAGAGAGAGAGAGTAATATTTATTGATAATGATTAAATATGTTAAATTTATTATCCTTAATTATGAACAATAACTCTAAAATGACACCTATTCTATAACGAGTGAAATAAATATGTAAATCATATATTAAAATTATATATCATAAAATAAAATAAAAAAATATTATTAATGTTTATTTTTATACTAATCAATTTGATTTTATGCAAAACAATTTATAATTATAGCCAGTGCATCGCACGGGCTATGTACTAGTTATATATTAATTATGACACTAAAAACAATATTCTTTTATTGCAATAAACATATGCCTATCTCATGAATATCTACTAATCTATATATAACAGATACAATGATGAAAAAGAAATATAAAACTATTTAATCATATCAACCAACAAGCATAATCAAGAGCAAGTTCTGTGCATTTTATGCCTCAAAAAAGTGATAATTATCAAGTTTAAAAAAATATATAAAAAAAAAACAAACAAAATTTATTGTAGCACAAAGACATTTTTTTTATAACTAGAATAAAACTTATAAATAATGTCTTTACATCTAGTCCAATTTTTATTCCAAACACTTGTAATTATTTTGAACTCTAACAGTCTAACTCAACTCAACTCAACTCTTGAACTACAAAATCAAACAATCATGTTTACAACATTTATATGTTTCGTACTTGTCTCATTGTATATGTAACTAGAAATTAATACAATTAATTCACCAACATAACACGATTTTACTAAAAGAAAAATTGTTATAAGAAAACTACGTAAATAACATATATATATATATATATATATATATATATATATATATATATATATATATATTGTTTAAACTTCAAATTTAAGAATCTGGCAACTTTATTTGGAGGGCCAATCTTTCTGAATATCAAAGGTGTAGTTGATGTCCAAGTAGCATTTGTTGTCATCGTCAACAAACTGCACACATAGTAATAAAAATAATAATAATAATAATAATAATAATAATAATAATAATAATAATAATAATAATAATAATAATAATAACAAATTTGAGAACAATTTATATAGTAATACCATATTAGACAAAGATCACAAATGAAACTTTCAAGGACTTTGAGCAGCAAAAGAAGAGTAAGAGCAATGACCTTCGATTTTGCAGAATATGATCCTCTGGCGAAAATCCCAGATGGAGTCGTCTCTTCTTCCATGACATGCGTGTACGGCTCCACCTGAGGACTAAATGTTCCGAGCATCTGCTTCGAGCTATCCACTATTTCATATATTTCGCAAAGTAAATCAAAATCGATCAATATCTAGATAAATAAATACACTACAAAGCAATTGCTATATTCCAACGAAAAATCATATGGTAATATATTCTAATTAATATTGGTATATTTTCTGTTGGAATGATTCCCACGGCAATATTTCGTTGGAATGTATTTTTCTTTGGAATTTTAGATAGAATTTGATGATTCCAACGGCTATATTACCAACAGCTTTTTACCGTAGGAATTTCTGTTGGAATATGCAATTTCTGTTGAAATTTTTATTTTCACCTGATCTACCGTTGGAATCGTCAAAAATCCAACGGAAATTTCAATGGAAAACTCATTTCCAACGGATTATTTTGTTGGAATTTCCGTCGGAATCCATTGAAAAATTCCAACAGAAATATTAGCATTGAAAATATCCATTTGAATTGTCGTTGGAATTTCATCATTTTCTTATAGTGATAATTTAAAAAGAGAGAAAAAACAGTACATATGGAATATATGGTTATAGAATAACATATACCTTTGATTCCAGTTTTCCAGATAGTGTTGGTGTATTTGAGGCCACAAACGATGTCGTTGCTAACTTTAACTGAAAATCTAAGCCGATATTTACTACCTTCTTTGAGTGTGAACCACAACCCTTTAGGGTTCCCATTCTCAGGTATTGGGAGCACTATGTCTGCTCTTCCCGGGGACAAAATTGTCAGACTCAATATTTTCACATCTGGCTCTTGATCCTCTGAAAATTGTCAATTTGACCCCCACAAAGTATATATATTTCACTTCTCATGCTATATTAATCAACTCCTAATTATCTAGAAGTGTATAATTGCACAATTGTATGTTGGCCACTATGTTGACAAAATTTGAAAAAATGGTCACTGTGTTAGGCCATATTTTCAAAAAAGGTACATCATATAAGGCATTATCAGGAATGATCCACTAATTAAGTTGTCAATTTAATCAAAATTCGTACAATAATTGACATAGTGTACTAAAGTGGTCAATTTTAGACTTTAGTTGACATTTTCAGTACACTATGTTGGTTTTCGTACGAGTTTTGATTAAAATGACAAATTAGTAGATCGTTCTTGAAGACGCCCTATATGATGGACCATTTCCAGAAGATGACCAACATAGTGTACTACAAATATTGTATGTAACACTTACACGGAGTGAGGTCCACTTGATTTTTTATTTTTGGTGGATCCCACTCAATGTGAGTGTTATGTACACTCATATGTACAATATTATGTACCTATAGCATTTCTCAAAATAAAATTCAGTCATCAGTTCTCTCATATGTATCAAATAGTTTTTTTTTTTTTTTTCAAATAAATTATTGAAACCGAACCTTCAACAGCAGCAGCATCCACACTTCCTAGGAGTTGTTCCTTCCACCTCCTCAAGCTCTCATCATCCTATAAATGGATTAATTAAAGTTGACATATATTAGAAATTACAAAACATTAGTTAATAAATTATAAGCAAAAATTCAATTTTGGTCCGTCTACTTGTCTAAAGTAGTTTTTGTACACTAACTTTTTCCTCAAACCTCATCAATAATAATACATTATGTTGTAATTTGTATCACTTTTGGGACATTATCGCAAAACTGGTTCATTATTATTTGAGATTAATGTCCTAAAACTACTACATATTGCACCTTATCGTACTGTTTTTGATGAGTAATGTTCTAAAAATGATACAAATTGCAACATAACGTACTATTATTGATAAGAGAAAGTGAGTGTACCAAAAAATGGCTTTAGACAAGTAAACAAACCAAAATTAAAATTTTTCTTAATTATATACTAGTAATTAATAATTAGACCTTATCTTTCTCCAGATGTTCCTTGATGCTAACTTTGGGTCCAAGCTGGATGTTCAAATCCTCGTCATCCTCGGTTGCATAGCATGACGCTTGTCGACTTATTCTTCCTTCCGAATCAGAAGCTATGTCCGGGTCGTGAGTGCTCTTCGAGTCGCAATCCGAATTCTCTTTTTCCTTGTCATTTCCATCGTCGCGTCCCATTTTTTGTTTGTATCCTACTTTTTTTTTTTGTGTGTGCAGCAAAAACTAAAGCTCAATATCCCACAGTATAGGTATCCTTCACACCATGCATGCAATTAAGAGAAAATTATGAATTAGTTAATGTTAATTACTTTTAAGAGAAAAATATAATGAAATGCTTAAGATTTGTGAGGGAAGAAAATGATGGGCTAATTGTGGTAGTGAAGGGGAATGGGTGATTAATGAGAGTCAGTTGTGATCCGTTTTATAATGACGGTTAATAAATATTTGAGTGTATTTGAGTGATTCTTGAGATTGTAAGGGAGGCAAAAAATGCGGTCAGAGTTCTATTTTTAGTATCTTGTGTACTTCTGCATTTATGTTTTTCTTGTTGCTTCTTTTTATAGTAAGTTGACCAACAAATAATGTAATTAATAGTTGTAATAATTTGATAATGATGGTTATAGAAAAGATTAAGAGTACTAGAATAGCTCTTCTGAAGTAGAGCAGACTTTATGAATATGATAACAAGACAATTATTGATAAGCTCGCTCTTCAGTTGGAAGATATAAGAAGAGAAGGAGGGGAGAGAAATTGCGGGTTCTAAGAGTCAATTAAAAATTAGTTGGAAGAAGTTCAGTGTTCAGAAGAACTTTTTTGGAAACAAATGGCAAGAATCATGGGGTTGGAAGAAGGGGGCAACAATTCGAAGTTCTTCCATGCCTTTACATCTAAGAGAAGGAAGATGAATGCTATTTAAAAGCTAACTGTTGCAAATGGGCTTATGCATGAAACCCTTGGAGGGATTGAAGCTTGTGTAACAAATTTATTTAGGAAGGTGTTTACTTCTAAAGGATCAACTGGAGGTGATGCGATTTTACAGAGAATTCCTTTCTCCATATCTCAGTAGATGAATGATGGTCTTATTGCACCGGTGGAGGAGGATGAGATAAGGATGATACTGTTCAGTATGAACCCTGAAAAAGCTTTAGGGGAGGATGGGATGACAATCTTTTTCGACATAATATTTTTTTTTAAGTCTAATATATTGGTCATTTTTCAACAAAGGGCTACCTTTTTAGCAGACATTCAAACTTAGGACATTAATTTGAAAAATTCATCAAATAAGATACACTAATCATTAGTGGCAGGATAAAATTTATCGTTCCTTTCTGGTTTAATTCGAAAGTCTTCTAATGTATGTTTCAAGTGAGTGACCTACCGTTGGATTCTTTTCGTCGAGATGGTCGTATCCCTAAAATTTTCGCCCAATTATAGTTTGTTTTCTCACTCAATTTTTCATCTAAATGAATTTGAGTTATTTTCTATTCAGTTTAATTATGGCGCCATATAGCATTGATTTAGGTGGGTGACCCACAATCTGGTTTTTCTTGTCAAACCAGTCATACACAAGAAATTTGATCTCAATTGGAGTTCATTTCCCTGCTCATTTTGTCATCCAAATTAATTTTAGTCCAAATTCGTTGTTATCTATCCATGGGCCATTTTGATGCCTTATGGTGCACGTTTTAATCGGCAGACTCATCTGATATTTGTCTCATCAAGACGGTCGTAACCACAAATTTTTAGCTCAATTAGATTTCATTTGCCCAGTCAATTTTTCATCCAAAATAATTTAGATTATTCTATTTTTAGCTTAATTATGGTGTCTTCTCGGGTCAGTTCATGTAGTTGATCTACTGTTGAATTCTTTACTTCGAGATGGTCATATAATAAAAACTTTAAACAAAATGGAGTTTGTTTGCTTAGTTAATTTCTCGTTCAATGTTACATGCACAAACTACATTTTCAGCCCGTTATTAGCTCGCTTCAAGCCTGTAATAATATGGCCTTTATCCTACCACTAACGGTTACTGTACCTTATTTGATGAATTTTTTGAATTAATCTACTAAGTTTGATGTCTGTAAAAAAAAGTGGACTTTTTCTGGAAAATGACCAATATAATCGACTAAAAATGAAATGTTGTCGCCTTTTTCTTCCAATATTTCTGGCCTCTTGTCAAAGGTGATGTCTGCTCTACTATCACAAGATTTTTTTTTTCTTTTTTGGGAGGAAACAAAGGTACTGAAACCATACTATTGTTACTTTAATTCCAAAATGTTTTCATCTTGAGTCTTTGTGTCATTTTAGGCCACTCAGTCTGTGTGGTGTGGTTTATAAAGTAATTTCAAAGATTCTACCTCATAGGTTAAAGGTGTGTCTTTCTTTATGTGTAAGTGACTCTCAAGCTGCATTTATTCCTGGAAGATTGTTATTAGATAATGTGGTTTTGGCTTAGGAGTTCTTTCATTTTTTAATAGTCGTAGGATAGGAGAAAATTGTTTTGTGGCCATCAAACTGGATATAATGAAAGCCTATGACTGTATGGAATGTGGTTGTGTTAAACTGTAATTATAAAGATGGGTTTTAATGAGAAGTTTGTGAATTGGGTGATGGGTTACATTACTTTTACATCTTTTCCTTTCAACCTAAATGGGACTATGTCTAATTTGATTTCCCCCTCTAGAGTGTTGAGACATTGGGATCCTATTTCTCCTTATCTTTTCATTCTAGTGGTTGAGGTTCTATCCTCACTGAATGAGTTTGATTCCAGCTTGGGTGGTCTAAAGCGTCTAAAAATCTCAAAGAATGGACTTGTTTTATCCCACCTTTCGTTTTATGATGACTCTCTTATCTTTTGTGAGGCAAATAGTATTCAAGCTTTCCAGTTACTTGACATTCTTGCAAAGTACTAGGCCTTTTATGAACAAATGGTGAATTTGGAGAAGTCTTCTATTTTTTTTTTCAGTAGGAACACACCTTAGCAGGTTCAAGTAATCTGTTTCATTTTGGATGGGATTAAGGTCTATAGCTCTACAAGATATTTGAGGTTACCCCTTGGAATTGGTAAGGAAATAAAAGAGGTATTTCAATTTGTTCTTGATGCTGTTAGAAAGTGAGTCAGTAGTTGGAAGAACGAAATCCTTTCTACTATAAGGAAGGAAGTCATAGAGAAAGTTGTCCTTAATGCCATTCCAGTCTTTGTGATGTCTTGCTTTAAACTACCACTGACTTTTGTATAAAAGTATTTCCTAGTCTGTGTGCTAAATTATGGTGGTCTAAGGGTAATGTGCAAGGAAAGGGTATACACTGGAAGTCTTGAAAACAACTATTTTTGCCAAACGATTGTGATGGGCTGGGTTTTCAAGACATAAGACAGTTTGATGATGTTACGACGAATAGAGGGGGGGTCAAACATGGAAGACCACGATGAGTAACTTCAACCTTTCGGGTCAAGATCAACCAGAAAGGTCAAACGATATCACATGGCATCCCAATAACCATCACATGTCGTCATTAAAATACATTGACCGACTCCTTCTTAGATCGGTAATAACTAGAGCTTGATCCGCGCAAAAAGAACATATCAACACACTAAGGGATGAGTTTGTATAAAATGGATCGACCAGGGGGTAACATGCCAACAAACAAACATCAATGAAGTTAATAAAGTCGAACGTATGAAATAAACAGGGCCCGATTGGTAAAACACCTTGGAGCAAAAAAACATGGATCTCTAACTCAAGGTATGTGTTTACCCTGGGATGTGGAACCATAGTGTGGCAGAGTATTAAGCAAAAATATGTGGTTGACTGGGTCGACTGGGTCGCGACTCGCGAGTTGACTCATGAGTCGCGGGGCTGGGCGCGCGCCCGCCGCGACGCTTGCCTTGGATTGCTCTGAAAACTCGCGGGTCGCTGGGCGCGCGTCTGGGGCGTTGGCGCAGCTTGGGCTGCACTGCGCCACTTTACGTTTCGGCCTCGTTTGAGCTCGTCTGATCTCGGAATTCAGTTTCGTTTTTTCCTACACGTCGCTAACGAACCCGTATATTCAATTATGCTCTCAAAACCAATTTTTCCTTAAAATAATATTTACCTGAAGCTCCCAACCTACACAGCATAAACGACAAAACACGAAGAAAACCTGAAAACCAAACGAAAGACACATAAAGACTCAAAATGAAGGAAACCACATAATAATACCCAAAACGGACTAAAAACGAAAGAAATGACGTAAAACGGGGAAAAAGAAAAGAAAAACAAGCACAAAAAATGCAACAAAAATGAGACAAATAAACTCCCCCACACTAGAATCTTTGTTCGTCCCGAACAAAAAGAAAAGAAAAGACACAAAACTAAAAACGAGCCTTAATAACAACCATTAACAATATAAGCCTCAAAATGTTCAACTCCAACAACGAGCATTCAAATGGCATATACGAGAATCACACAACTACATGCTTGATCTATACTTCGACTTGGCGCTCTCTCAAGTATGAGAATATATATGTGTGCCTCACTCAAATTCTTATATAGATAAAGATAGGTGCACTCAAATTGGTCGATAACAAGTTCAATCGTATGTTTGCCCATTGTCTAATTTCTACTCTAAATCAATCATAATCAAAATTAGTGAATCAAAAGGTCTTTCAAGGTTGTAAAGTAGGCTCTTAGATAGGTAGGATTAATATAGGCTATATAGGCTCGAAAAACCGAGCAAAAATGAGAAAAAAACAGAAAAAATAAAAAATAGGGCCGACTGGGTTGCAACTCACGAGTTGCGAGTTGGCAGGGTCGCGACGCCGGTCACGAGCTGGGCGTGGGCTGCTCTAAAAAACTAGCGGGGCGCGTCTGGGGCGCGGGCGTGGTCGCGAGGCGCAGCTTGTGCTGCACTGCACCACTTTACGTTTCGGCATTATTTGAGCTCGTCCGAACTCAGAATTGATTTCCGTTTTTTTCCTACGCATCGCTAACTAACCCGTCTATTCAATTATGCTCTCAAAACCAATTTTTTCTGAAAATAATATTCGCCCGAAGCTCCCGACCTACACACCATAAACGACAAAACACAAAGAAAACCGGAAAAACAAACAAAAAACACATAAAGATTCAAAATGAAGAAAACACATAATAAAACTGAAAACGGACTAAAAACGAAAGAAACGACCTAAAACGAGGAA